AAAGATTTTGTTTATTTATTTGACAGAGAGAGAGACACAGCGAGAGAGGGAACACAAGCAGGGGGAGTGGGAGAGGGAGAAGCAGGCTCCCCACCGAGCAGGGAGCCCGATGCGGGGCCTGAACCCAGGACCCCGGGATCATGACCTGAGCCGAAGGCAGACGCTTAACGACTGAGCCACCCAGGCGCCCCCGAGGAGGGAATTTTCTGAGAACATTTCACATCAGCACCCCATATCAGGGGGCAAGGGTGTCACTGGGGTTTTCCCTGGCCCCTGGTGTGGGTCTTGGTGCCGAGTGATGAAGTTCAGTAGTGCCTGCCTCTCACCTCCAGCTTCTGCTCCGCTCAAGGAGTCAGCCCTAGGGACCCTCCCTGCAGGTTGCTCGGTTGCCTACAAGGCTAGGCAGCCCTGACATTGGCAAGGAGACTGCCACGCACATCCCGAAGTTTCTGTGAAACAGAGTCGTTAAAATCCCCAGATAAATGGCCAATAAGCCCAGCAAAAGAGGTCAACATCACTAATCAACAGGGAAATGTAAATCGGAACCACAGCAAGATACTAGCTGTAATATCTCAAATGGCTACTATTAAAAAAAAACAATAACAAATGTTGGCCAGGATGTGGAGACATTGGTGCCCTTGGGCACTGTTACTGGGCATGTGAAATGGTGCAGCTGCTGCAGCAAACAGTCTGGTTAAAAAGTTAAACAGATTTTCAGCATATGATCCAGCAATTCCTCTTCTGGGCAGATAGACTCAAAAGACTTGAAAAGAAGGTTTCAGAGAGATATTTGTACACACAAGTTCATAGCAGCATTATTCACAATAGCCAAAAAGTAGAAGTAACTCAAGTTTCTATCAGTGGACAAATGAATAAACAGAATGTGGTAGATTCACACAATGGAATATTATTCAGTCTTAAAAAGGAAGGAAACTCGGGGCGCCCGGGTGGCCCAGTTGGATAAGATTTTATTTATTTATTTGAGAGAGAGCGAGAATGAGAGAGAGCACGAGAGGGAGGAGGGAGGGAGGAGGGTGCCTCAGCAGCAGGTGGAAGCATGGGAAGGGCTCAGGGGAGACGTCCGTGTCTCTGCCAATCTGGGAATGCTGGCCAAGCTGTGGAGACCCCAGTTATCCAGGGAGACCCAAAGCGGGGTGGTGGGCGGAGGGATGGGGCCCGGGAGGGAGGGCGGGAGGGCATGAGTCACTTCCTGGGCCAAGGGGAAGGGATGACTCACACTCTGTTGCCCCTGGATGGGGCTCCCAGGGGAATTCTGGAGTTGGCCATTGTGAGCACGGCTTGAGGGGCTGTGGGGAGTACAGACTTGAGGGTACCCCAACCATTTAGTTCCTATGTCCAAACTGGATACCCCTCAGGCCAGTGGGGGTCCAGAGATCCCCCTCCAAGAGGTCCTCCCAGCCAAGGTAAACTGAGGCTGGAATGCCCTTCCCCTCCCTCAAATGAGGATCCCTCTCTTCCTCCTCTCTGGCCACAGGGCTTAGCTAGTTCTACCCTCAGCCTCGACCCACTTCCTCTTTGCAGGACAGACCACAAAATGACCTTCCCTAGCAGGGTGGGACCTGGACTGATTTGTCCCCAGTTCCCAAAGCCCCAAATAGCAACCGTCATGCTCAGAACTGCCCTAGGAGGCAGGGGCTCTGGTCATGTCCATTCTACAGATGGACAAACTGAGGCTTGGAGCCCAGAAACAGCTCAGGAAGAATCCAGTGAAAAAAGGGGGACTGAGGAAAGTGGAATCGAGTTCAAGTTTCCCAGACTGTGGTGTGTGTGTGTGTGGGGGGGGTTCTTTTGTGCCCCATCCCCTCCACTGGGGCTGGGCTGGGATCTCCTCCCCCACCACCAAGGCTGCTGGGCCAGGCGTTCTGCATCTGGGGCCTTGGAAGTCACCTAAACAGGAGCCAGGAGAGGAGCTGCTGGTCATCCGCTCTGGGTCCCATCTGGTTTGCATTGCCTGTGCAGCCCTGAGCAATAGGTTCTTGCTTAGGGACCCTGGGGGCAGGGGGCGGGGCAGTCACCCTCCTCTTGCTCCTCCTGCTAAGGACCCCCAGCCCAGACCCCAGGCCCACCAGTGTCCTGCCCAGAAGGCAATTAGACAAAGTAAAATAAAAAATAAAGTGCTGTTGCTTAATTCTTACTGTGAACCAGGAATAGTTGTGTCAAGCTCACTCAACACTTAATCCTATAAAGTGGAGATGATTTTACTGCTGTGGAAAATGAGCTCAGCGGCTCCATGACTTGGCCCCAGGGACACACGACCCCCCATTAGTTGTGTCCCACTTAGACTCCCGTCCTTGCTCCTGAGGAAAGCCAGGGTGGGGATGTTGGGGGAGTCCCTGCGCTCGTGCCTGCCACACTGGGCCAGCACAGGGAACCCCTGTCCCTGTGGCCCAGGGAAGCTCTGGTTGGGGCACCCCAAATGTCATTTCCTCACTCTGTTGCCTGGTCGCTCAGGCAACAAGCTGTCCCAATAACGGTTAGAGACGCTCTGGGTGGGGCGGGAAGGGAGGAGGGGGGGTGGGGGAAAGTCACAGTGAAAAATCAAGTTCAAACCCACAGCTGGCAAAATTCCTTCAACCCACGGCGGAGTCCTGGCTGGGTCTGGGGGAGCAAGGGTGGGGGTCTCTGGGGTTGCCCTTGTCACCGAGACAGTGGGGGACATGTTGGGAGTACCCCCCCCCCGCATTGGAGGGGTCCTGGCTCCTAGCTCCCCAGCATCCCCCATGCCCTCTGTTAAAAGCAGTTGCCTACAGGGTCCCAGCACTCCCTTTTTGCCCTCTCTCCTTCCCCCGTGTCTCAGTTTCCCCTCTTAGGGAGGCAGCCCCCAAAGTGTCTCTGGGACAGAGCTCGGAGATCTGCGTGGCAGTGGGGGCTCCTAGAGCACCTTGAGAGCACTGCCAGCCCTTCTCCTCATGTGCCTGCCTGGCCATGTGGCTTCCTCCGCCGCGGGGTCCCGGAGCTGCCAGCCACACCTTCCATTTCTCCACGGGGCACGGAGCGCCAAGGGGCCCAGGGGTGCTTTCCGCACAGCCCCCTCGTCCCTCCCCGCGGGGCCCCCAAATCCTCACCTTGAAGGAGGAGAAGGAAGCTGCGGCGGCGGCCGGGGCCTCCCATGGTCTGAACTGCCCGCAGGGGAAACGGAGGAAGGGCCGGGCGGTCCAGTTTCCCCAGGCTGGGCGGCTGCGCGGCATCCCGAGGCTGGCCGGGACTTTATGAAAGCCGGCGGGGGGGGGGGGGGGGGGGGGGGGGGGGGGGTGGAGGGCAGCGGCTGGCCCAGGGCCCTCCCCGGAACTGGCGGGGCAGCTGGAAGCCAACAGGAAAGTGCAGTAAAAACACAGACTCAGAGGCGTTGCACGGGCTCACACACACACACACACACACGCACGCGCGCACGCACACACACGGGAGCAACCTGCTCTGCTGGCAAATCCTCTGCCTCCAGTCACACCATCTGAGCGCCTGACCAACTCGCTGGCCCCCCTGTGCCTGGGCTGGCTGTACCCCAGTGGAAAGTGGGGCTGTGCGGGCGGGGGTGGGGTGGGAGTCGTGCCCGGGGCCCCGCCTGACTCTTCTTGCAGGGGTGTTTAGGTTGGGGGGGGCCATGTCAGAAATAGCTTGGGGCTCGCATGTTGGAGGCGGCCCTGAGCTCGCTGCCTTGGCAAGCCTGCCTGCGTCTCCGGGGCCGGCGTCTGAGCCAACAGCACCCCCAAACCCTGCTTCCCAGGTGAGGAAACTGAGGTAGCGAGTCCAGAGTCCAAATGGAAGCTGGGGGAGTTTGAAGGGGCCCTTCATGGGGGCCAGGCAGGCCCCAAGAAGAGAATTTGCAGGACCACGGGCCAGCTCGCTTCTGGAGCTGGCCTTTCTGGACCAGCCTTCCCCTGGGTGGGAAACTTACATTTCAGGGACTCCTGGGCAGCAACAGAGAATCACGTGATGAAAGAGTTGTTTCCTTTTCTAATAAACCACATGACTGGCTTCTCTCCTGAGCCATCTAATAATTTTTTATAAAGCGCTTAACTGGAGCCAGGCCTGATTCTCCTAGAATTATCTATGTATCTATTTTAACCCACTTGCTCTGCAAAACTCGAGGCAGGTGGGGCTATGATTCCCATTTTACAGAGGGGGAGGTCGAGGCACAGGTAACAAGTGGCTGAACCGGGACCCGTAAGCAGGCAGCCCAGTCTTCGAGTCCCTGCCAGAGCTCAAGGTCCAGAAGAAAGTCTCTACTGGGTGCTAATGTGTCTTTAACACCTTGGCGGCCTGGGGTTTAGCCGGGGCAGTATTTATGTTCCTTGTGCTATCATTTGTTTTTTGATTTACCAACTCTTCAGGGCAACGAGAGGGTTTTGCAACTAGGATGTCAATATAAAGTTTCTTTTTTAAATGAATGGTTTTGGGGCTGCAAAAGTGTAGAAAATTAAAGAAAATAGTAAGTACATGATAGGTCGAAGGGGGAAGATTGCTGGTCATGGAAAAAAAAGGTCACAAATGGCTGAAAGCAGAGAAGCATTATCCCAGAGATGATGGAACACCTCCACCCCCGGAATTAACCCCTTCCTGTCCTCTTCCTCCCCCCCTCCCCGCCCCCAATCCCATTGTCCTGGGTGGGGCATGGGAAGGGTTCTGCCAGAGGACCCAAGGGACTTGGGTGTTGGGGGCGGGAGGACCCAGGAGGAGGCTGGGAGGGGAGGGGGCCAGACCAGATCTGGAGTGGATTTTTGAATTTTTTTTTTCCAGAATCTGGAAACCTTAGGGCTGGACATGCCCTCCCCACAGGATTGCAGGTCAGACAGCTGGTACCTGGAGAAGCTGGGGCTTGGGGGTTCCAGCTTGGGGGAGGCTGGAGGAGCTGCCTTGGGTATTGTCCCCACACCTATCCTCACCCTCGGTGTCCATCTATTCTTTGGCCTTTTCCTCCCTGGTGTGTGTCTTGGGCCCTTGGAGCAGGTCTGACCTCCCCGGGACTCAGTTTTCCTGTCTGGTGAATGGGATTAAAATGCCTGCCCACTGGCCTCACAGAACAGGGTGAGGAAGGAACAGGGTAACAGGAGAAAAGACTTGGAGATGTTGGCTGCAAGATTGGGGAAGGCACGAAGAAGGACATCCTCAGCACCACCACCACAATCTGGCCTGTCAGCAAGTCCTGGGGCCTTGCCTTCAGATAGACCCAGAATTTTCCCACCTCTCCTCATTGGCCCCCTGCCCTGGTCTAGGTCTGTCACCTCCAGCCTTGGTGTTCTGGTTCCTGCCCCCACACTCGGTTCCCCTCACAGTGGCCCAAGGTCACCTGCGAACGCCTGAGTCAGGTCACACCCCTCCTCATCTCAAGAGCCCTCCATGGCTCCCACCTCACTGGTAAAACCCCAAGTCCTCTCACAGCACATAAGACCCTGCATGATCTGCCCTGTCACCTCTGTGCCCTCACCTCCTCCTGCACTTCCCATGCTCACTTGGCTGCAGTTTTCCTTGTGGAAAACACCAGGCACAGTCTGACCTCAGGGCTTTTGCACGAGCTGCTGCCTCTGCCTGGAATATTCTTACCCCAGATAACCTCCTGGTTCCTTCCCTCCTCCTCTTCATGTTTTGGCTCAATTTCCTGACCCACCCCTTGAGTCCAAATGTAATCTCCTCCCATCTTCAGCACCCCAGATCCTCCCAATGTTCTCGATTCTCCATTCTCTGTAGCACCTCGCCACCTCTCATCATGGACTATACCTATTTACCTTGTTTACCGTCTGCCCCCACCCCTACTAGACTGTCAGCTCCAGGGGCAGGACTTTGGTCCATTCATGTCTCTGCAGTGCCGGCAAAGAGCCTGCATCCAGTAGGGCTCCATACTTAGTAACCACCCCCAACACACACACACCGCTGTCATTCCCCCCACTGAAGGAAACCCCCTTCAAGCTTCCTGATCTGGCCCTTGCTGGGCTATCACACTGTTCCTCCTCCTTCCCTCTGCCCTGAAGTTTCAGGCCCGCTGACCTATTTGGCAGCAACCCCCCCTTCCCCGGACAATCTTGTGACCTCTGTTTCACAGCAGGGAGGCAGGGACATGATGGGTCCCTATGTGTCAGATGGGAAACTGGCACCTGGAGGGCTGGACCACTGGTAAGAGGTTCCTCAACTAGGAAGTGGCTAAGCCAGGATTATTCAAATAATAATAATAATAATACTATTTATACTGCATTGTATTACATTCTATTCTATATTTTGGTTATTGTAGCTACAACAGTAACAAATCATCCTGGTGGAAGATAGTGCTCATCCAGCGCCTCCTGTATTCCTGGCCCCCTTCTAAGCACTCTACAGGGACTGAATTCACTTATCTTCCCGCCAGCCCTAGAAGGCAGCAGCCCTAGAAGGCAGGTGCCGTAATTTCCATCTGGCGGGCGGGGTAATGGAGGCTTGCACAGTCACAGGGCACACCCGTCTCAGATCAGAGGTCCCGGGCAAACCCGATCTCTTCCTCTTTGGGACCCTGTGGTCATGGTCTTAAAGAAGAGCACAAATCGGGGCGCCTGGGTGGCTCAGTTGGTTAAGCGACTGCCTTCGACTCAGGTCATGATCCTGGAGTCCCGGGATCGAGTCCCGCATCAGACTCCCTGCTCAGCGGGGAGTCTGCTTCTCCCTCTGATCCTCCCCCTCTCATGCTCTCTGTCTCCCATTCTCTCTCTCAGATAAATAAATAAAAAATCTTAAAAAAAAAAAAAAAGAGCACAAATCGCAGGGGTGTAGCTAGGAGTGGACGCTCAGTGAACAGCAGCTTGGCCCTTAGGAGAGGGAGACAAGGGGACCCCAGGGTCCTGCCTCCCGGCTTCTTGTGCTGCCTGTCTCTGCCCAGCACCCACGCAAGCCCAAGCTGAAGTGGGGGGGTCAGATGGGGTCTCCAGCTGGAGGGGGGCTAACAGGAAGCCCCCTGCCTGGGAGACAATGGCAGAGGAAGGGGCCGGGCCAACCCCCACGCGGATGAGCCCAGCTGCCGGCTCCAGGAGGGCAACACAGCTATTGTGAGGCCAGACAGCTGTCCCTGAGCCAGGAAGCCCCAGGAAGCCAGGGAAGAAAGTGGGAGGTCGCTGGCTGACCCTGACCCCCGACCCAGGGCAGGTCTGACAATGGGCCCTTGGTCTCCTCCTGCAGGCTGGACACCTGGATTTCCCCTGAGGCTGGGGCCCCCAGGGTCCACCTGACGAGGGGCTCCTGGTGCAGAGCCCTGCCTAGCCCCAGCTGGCATCCTCCTAACCCCTACCACCCACACTGCCCTGCCCAGCCTGGGGAGTTAGGAGGCAGCGCTGAGTGGGGCCATATTTATAGCTCCCTGGCACTGCTGAGCAAACTTCTAAATACAGATGCCGAGCTATCTGGGGCCTCGGCCCTGGGGTGGAGTGGGAGCAGAGGGCACCGCACGTGTGCCTCCCAGGCCTAGGCCCTCGAGATGCTTGGGCCTCTCAGTCTCCGGGTGCCGAGGCTGCAGGGGCTCATGGGGGGGCAGTTTGTCTGTCTGAGTGGGGGCACACAGAAAGAGCCGCGGTAGAGTTGCCCACAGCCACAACACAGGGAAACTGCCCGAAAGGGGTGCAGGCACGTTCCAGGCCCAGGAGGAGGGCATACGTTTGTGCCTGGTGTCCCCAATGTCCCGTTCCTTCTTTTACCCCAAGACCCACTGGAGTAGGGAAAGTGGACTGAGGTGTCACCACAATGTTCTCAGCTTCTAGGAAATAAAGGCCCCCAGGAAGTTGCAGGGACGGCCCTGAACCCCAAACAAATGCCAGCTCTTAGCAACCCACTTCCCCTTCCCCATCGGTGCTGATCTCACTGGTGGCCCGGGTGGGGGCTGGTGACATGGCTGGGGGTGGGGGTGGGGCTATAAATAGCCGGTTTATAAGCAGCTGCAGAGCCAGCTGGGACAGACGGTGGCCCTGGAGCCCAGAGGGCTTCTCATGCCCAGCAGGACCCCAGAGTGTCACTCCCTCCCAGCAGTTGCCAAAATTTGGGGAAGTAAGGGGGACGTGAGGGACAAGTTGCTTAAAACCAGCAACGTCAATGATTCTTTAAAGCAGCACCTTAACTCGATGGCCACAGACTTGAATGGAAGCTTAGTGCTTCCTCAGCTACGGGCTCACAGGATTGGAATATCATACAGTCAGTGAAAAAGAACGCCAAGATGGGCTGGCTCTTGGCAACACGCTCCTTTCTTAATTTAACAAATGGAGGGGCTCC